TCTGTTAAAGCATGTCACATATCACAGGCTTCAGATCCCAAACCCTCCGTTTGGTAGACTTTTATTTAAGTACACGGAGCCAAATGATAAATTAATAATTTGTGTTCAAATAATACTAAATTATGATTAAACAAAATTATTTTGCAAGGAACACTTTAGATTGTATATAGCTTTTAATAGTGTAGCCATTTATCTTTTTCCAAAAAAACTACATTAGACTGGGTTGTTCTTAAGCAGCAAAAGTTCAGTAACAATGTATACAAATAGAGTAAAGGTCAGACAGCTGGTAACTGTAGGGAATCGTTGATGTTATTTGTGAAATGCTGCAAAGCAGGGAACGGAACAAATACACTGAGTACACAGTAATGAATGAGAGTATTGATCGGGGCGGATCCTTTTGGCTCTTCTTTAATTCTTAAAATCTTTTTCCAAGAACCTGTTTTGAAATATTTACTCTTGAAATACCTGCAGGAAGTGTTCAAACTGAGGTTTCAGCTCCTTCATCATGGTTTCTGCTTTGTTCAGGCATGTATGACTCTGTCGCGCTTCAAACTCCTTCAAGAAATCCATCAATACATCTGTTAACATTAGATCCCTTTAGCTCATTCCTTGCCTGATCATGGTTGAATTATTATACAAAAAAAGAAATGAGAGTTTCAGAGAACAAAATGTAAAGCTAAGTGTTGTATCCTGCATTGTCACCTGTGTGTTACTGAGGTGTTCCTGGGAGGTTATGTGGGCCTGGACTGAGGATGCCGATGTGGAGACGAAGGCTTTGCAAGCTGCACAGTGGAAGAGTTCGATTTTTGTCATGTGGTCATTTTCCTGCAGAGCTGACAGAACGAAAAGATCAGACCAAATGACATCTTTCAAAGACTGGAACAGAAGAGACTCTAATATCACAGTGGATGTTTTATCAGAGGTTTTGTTAGTATAAGTTATTTACCTTGAAGTGCACAATCCTCTATCGCTCGACTACACTGACGGCTTTTAAACAGCATGACGTCCTATGGAAAGAAAACCAGTACGTCACAATCCAGACACATAAATGCCCAAACATTTGTTAATGTTTCTATGATATGATCACTTCTGTTTTAATTCCATCATGGATTCTATTGTTAATTTATTGGGCTCAGTGTCTTTGCATTTAACCCCAATCCCTCTATTGTTTTAAAGAGGACATATTATACCTCTTTTCTACATTTTCAAACAGTCCCCTGTGGTCTAAATGAAACATCTGTGCTGTGCTTTGGTCAAAATATAACATGAATCAAGCACCAGAGGAGGTTTGTGACCCTGTATAAACCAGCTCTCTCAGAACGCTCCATTTTGGTGTGTGTGTCTCTTTAAATGCAATGACCCCCCCCTGAGTTTTCCGGTAGACATCACTCCTCTGTAGTGAGAATAAAAATGACAGACCAGCGCAAAAGTTTTGTTCTATTCTGGGGATGGCGTCCATGGGTGGAGATATCAGCAGAGGGGAGGGGATTTTTTTTTACCAGAATCGAACTTGTGACATCACAAGTTGAGCAAATTTGAAACGGAGCATTTTTCTGTGTTGTAAGACTTATGCAGACTACAAACAAAGGACTGGATGGATTTATGTCACATTTTGTGGGTCGGTAGTTCTATAATATACATTTTATCTTTTCTTATTAGTTCTGAAAAGGGAACATGTTGGGAAGAAGTCCATCAGAAGTTCATTAAAGAACAGGCCTGGGATTACAAGGAACTGTATGAAGGTACAGGATGTTTGGATGTGAATTATCTTACCTGTAGGAAGGCTATGACGATATCATCATAATTATTGTGTTGCTGAATGTGCTCCAGCGTGTCCCAGTGACTCTTACTCTCTAAGTGATCCTCCAACTCCTGACCATTCGCTAACTCAACCTCACAAAGGTCACAGATAATGGGGTTCCTAAAACAAAAAGAAGACAATCAGCAGCGCATTCAGACATTATAGTAAAGTTTAAAAATTAGGTGAAAAATTGTAATGAAGACATCTCCTATTCCCCAAAGTCAGGCCCACAATGCTTCAAGCAATAATTTCTTTTGAAACCTGTTTTCACGCAACTTTAGTTAACAAAGCCAAAAACTACAGGACTGACCCAAAGTGTGTAACCCTAGTGTGGTAGCATTAGCATATCAACTAGCAGTGGCTAACAAGGAGCTAGCAGACCTGTATAGAGGATGGTATTAAATATAATATGTTGCATTAATATGAATATAATCTTTGACAAACAGAGAGGTTAAACACATTTTCTCTCTGTGGCCTGTTTACTACAGCATCAAATGATGGATGGATGAAGCTTTGGTTCTTACTTGTCCATTATTGTTCTTTTGCTCTCTAGTCTTGGCACCTTGTTGGGAGGTGGGATTTGGTCCAGTTCTGTTGAACAATATAACAAAGACAGAATTATTTTTCATATACGGTCCAAGAGTGAATATATTTAAACAAGGCAAAACACTGTAGATTCTTAGGTTTCCAAATAGCTGTGGAAATCCATATGTTGCATAAATGTAATTGGACATAGTCACAGGATCAACAAATGAGTGAAAAAGCATACTGGCAATCAGAAAAGTGTGCGACACTACTTGATTAATTGCGCGACGATCCCATTGGTCGAGCACCGGCTGTGTGTGTAAATGTCATAAATGTCACTGTGAATTTTACTGATTATTTAATGCTGCATTGACACATCAGCTTACCTTTACTTCAATTGGAAATGACGATGTCAGGCAGAAACTATCTGGGTAAAGTCAGCGTGAAAAAAATGGCAATTCACACATGCAGCTCATCCTGAATGTTTCAGGACATTTTCAGGAGTTTGGTGCATGTGTGAAAACGCCATTACTGAAAATCATCACCTCTTCTCCATACAATCACATATTTTAAAACAAATGATTAACAATGATGAAACAAAAACAGCCGGCATACTTTTTTTTTTTTAGCAAATTGTCAACTTACCTGTTTCAACATATCCCAACTGTTGCTGATAGTCCTGCTTTAACCTGGGAGGTGATAATCTAACAGTGGTCATCTAAAGAGGAGAGAATACAAACGAGCAATGACAGTGTCATTAATGCATTAGCAAGCTAAAATGACAGTTTCATTAAATATAAACAAAAACAACAAACAGAGCCTTGTCTAACTGTCTTTTCACATCTACCTGTCTTACTGGTGATACCTCTCTCCTGTACTCTGGGATCGTTATCCTCTCCTCCCCGTTGGTACTCTGTGCTCCATAAGCAGGAAACAGTTGGGTGGAGGAGGCAGGAATAAGCCTGTCAGGGCTGCAGACTCGGTGGTCAAGTGGTCTGTTGATGGACTCACAGCCTGCTGGGTCAACCGATTCAGTGTCTGGACTATAAGCCAGCTGATCAGGAGGTCTATGAACTGGACTAAGGCTCGGTATTGTTACAGAGCCAAAGTCAAGCCTGCTGAGGGATGGCTCCCTGGCCTCAGGACGCACGAGTCCCAGCGGCTTTTTTCACCGCTGCCTCTTTCTGGAGACAAACTCTGACTTCCCAAATCCTGAACTGTTTCGGAGTCTGTGTGATCTTGGCCCTGTGGCATCTCATTTTCGGAGTCTGATGAAGCAGGCTCGTAAGGATTATAGAGCTCATCCCTGAGGGACAGAGAAGGAATTAGTTTGTTTTGTGACCGTAATGTACTTTTAGTTTATCGCCTGTAAGGATGCAATGCGATTAACCACTTCATAGATACTCTACCGATCAGTAATCACTTACATTGAGGATGTTTTAATTTCAATATCTTCTTAATGTCATATTTCTTTCTTTCTTAATCTTATTTTTTAATATATTTTGTACCGTAACACCTTTTTTTAAATAATTTGTTTCTTATTAGTTATGCATTATGTATTATATCTAACAAGCTTTACTGACCTCTGTTGACTGCACTACAAAGGTTGTGTGTGTGTGTGTTGTGTGTGTGTGTGCTCTGTTCATGTTTGCTTACTGTATACATACTGGTGCTTTTACACAAATTAAATTCCTTATTAACAGATTAACAGTATTTCTTTTGTGTATGTTCTTAATGTTGCTTATGTTCTGTTTGTTGTGTTCCGTTAATGTTTAGTAAAGCACTTTGAACTGCTCTGTTACTGAATGGTGCTTTATCAATAAACTTGCCCTGCCCAAATCTGCAAGCAAACTAGTAAGTCCAAAAGTGTAACTAGTAAGTCCTCAGAGAGAAAAAGCTTGCATCCTGACACTCACACTTCCCCCTGACAATCTGGACTAATATGAGAATGATGGTTTTAATTACCAAGAGACAAAGATTAAGATTCAAATGAGGCATGTTAACATCACAGAGTTGCTTACTTCTTTGGACTACTTGTGTGTTTTTCCTCAGAGGGGCCTTCTTCTTCTTCTGCTTTATCTAATGGTTTGAATGAAGACTTCCATCTGAACTCAATAGGTCCTGTATTACACAAAAGGTAAACAACAAAAAGACTATTAAACAACAGTTACGTACAACCAAGCACAACATCACTGGGACTTTTTACAACATGTGTCACTCCGCCTCAGCCAAGTGTACTGAATACAGTCAGTTAGTATTACAATAGTCAGGCATCATGCCTACACCAAACAAAGCAGTTGTGATATTCAGCACAACTTCACTTCCTCTCATGTGATATTGCTTCATTAGGTTTAGAGAGATTAGATGCACTCAGGAACATAGTCCTCCTGAATTACAACTAAGTAACGATTAAATTGTTAACTTCTGTTGACTTGATTAGTTACTGTATGTATACTGACATGTGTTCATTAAGTTTTTCTTCCGTTTGTGTATCCTCTTTGAATGGTATAAAAATGAGCTTGGGAACTATCGTGGGATGTGCATGGCTGTGTTTGCCTGCAGCTATTTTATTTGAAACATTTTTGATTATGTTTCAAAAATGGGGGCAGATTAGGAGATTGTTATTCTTTCTGCTCCTCTTCATTAAATATTTGATGTTTGTATTTTACTGTGTTGTTTTGTTGATGAATAAATTAAACGTATACAGATAAATAAGAGGAAAACATCCTGTTATAATTCTGAACGGGTATTTGAGAAAGCTTTCCTAGTTATTGAGAGATTGTACGGTCTCTGTATCAATATCAATCAGCATACTGATATAAAAACTTTAAAGTAAAATCTAACTTTTTAAATGACAAAAGAATTTTTTTTTTCCACGTTTGAAACTATTCAGTTATACTGTATACAATTGTAAAGAATAATATTTTCATGTTATTTGTGGGTTGATTAAAATATAAGTGTGTTATGATATTGTCTTGTTTGGATCACAGACAGCTGTATTGAATTTGATTATAACTGAGTTGTGCCATACTTTAATATATGGTAAAATATTACATTAATATTGATATAATTTAGTGTCATGGCCTAAATCTTGTTGTTGTGTTTCTAAATTAGTTTATACAGAAGTTACCTTCAGCTTTCTCGGCCTTAGAGACAGAACCGGAAGTCGACTCTGAGTAGCCTTCTAGTTTCCTCGAGATGAAATTCATAGCTTCATTGTAGCCAAAAGGTATTCTTAATTACACACACGTGAGGACAACGCTTTAATGCAAGTAAACACGACAACAACAGCTTGTCAACATGAGAGTTATCAGTAAGGTGATAAATGACTGACAAACATGGGCTAAGCCAGGAAAACTAGATTAGCAATAGATAATGTTCTGTTTGAGCTGCATGGCTAACAACAGGACACTTCCCTGCTAATATTGTTTAAAGGTGTTAAGTGTTTATGACATGCAACCTCCAAATAATACACCCACACATCGTCATAGCTTTGAATATTACGGAGAAAATGCCCGACGTAAAAAAAAAATAGAGAAAGTTACCTGTCCAACTGAGGCTTTGTCCTTTTATTTTCTGATATTGTAGGTTCAGGTTGGAAGGGGACATTGTTATTCGGAGGGTTCATTATTTTTGTTGTTTTTATCGATGCAGAAAGGTTGGCATCGGGTTTGGTATGTGTGAGAAGTACGAGGAGCTCAGCTTGTTCACCCACATAACAGTGTAGATTTCTAAAAGTGAAAGCTGCCGACAGGTGGCAGCATGTTGTAACACATGATGGACCTGCCTCTGTGCTTCAATGAGCCTGTCCCAACCGGTCCCAACACAATGACACCTTCACCTTTTAGAAACGTCATGAACACAGGATCCCAACTCTGGACCTGTACTTTAAAAGTAAGTGATATGGGGTGCTTAATTGTTTTCTTTGAGTTTTTTTGAGTACTTGATGCAGGTTTCACAGCAAATAAATGAATAGAAATACAATAAGTGCAAAAATAATCAGTTTAACCTGCCAGAGGGAGTTTCTGTTTTCCACCATCAATTACTTTTCCTTTGAGTATTATTTTCTTTTTATGTTGTTTTATGTGTAAGATAAGACTTTAGTGATGAAGAACTTAAGAGTATATATATATTTTTTTTTTGACACAATGTTCCTCTAAAAGACAGAGGCAGCTTTTTGAGAACTGTCATCATGATAATATCTGTCTCTCCTTTACTGTAATCTGTTCTGCACATGTTAGATTTACAAATTATCCCTGCACTCATGTTCACTTCATTTGGCTGTCTACTCGTCGTTATATTTTGTTAAGTCTTTTAATTGCAAATATTTACACCTATAAAGTAGAATTAACATGATATGAAATGGTCAGGGCCTTAAATTGGTCCTTCATCATTATCTGACTTGGGGTATCTGTATCATAATTGATAGCATTTGCGTAGCACAAAATGTATCTATATAGTTTAACCAATAAGTAAGCGCTCCAAGCTAATTTGTGATAGGTTGATCAGGCAACATATAACAAAGAATGTACATTAATCCTGGTTCTGCTGTAAATTGCACTACTTTGGAAATTTGTAAACATAAATGTATCTCTCATGGTTGGTTAAAATAAGGTTCTACAGTGGACCATGACTAATGAGCACCAGTTTGAACTTTCTCCTTTAAACTCAAGAGCAGGTAAATCATGATGTACATTCTCAGACAAGTCTGGTTACTCAGAATAGCACCGCAAGGCTTTCAATTTGACCTCCAAACAAAAGCTACATACATGCATAACACACATGACCTCTATGACACAGTAAAGATCCACACAGAAACAGTGAAGGTACTGTTCACAAATCAACAGGACGTCCTCACATAAACATTGTTCGTGGTTTACGGAGGTTAGACAAAGCCCCCGATCCCTGTACTGTGAAAGGAATTTTAATTGAGGTGAAATGATCGTCTATAGGATTATATGGATGTATGAGCACAAGAACATTTATCTTTATCATATTAACATTAGTCATCTGGTGACAGAGATTATGGATTATAGGAGTTAAGACATAAATGAGAAGGAAAGTGAGGACAAAGGGTACAGCTTCTTAACAATCATTGAGCTGAAAATCATTATGTGGACAGGTTTTTTTTTTAGGTTGTATAACTTGTTTAATGTTTCATTGTAGAATTAGTAGGTTATGATCATCCTGGTTCCCATGAGTCTACTCACAGTCACTTTAACCTCTTTCACTATCTGACTCTATTTAAAGTATTTATCTTCACGGCAATGAAAGAAAAACTTGGTTTAAAAGTCTTTATAAGGAGGCCATAAGGGGACAAGAGCAAAATCTCTTTGCTTTGTTGGAAAACTAAGGCACTTATGGAAAAGGCTTCTTGATGTGGAGAACATGCAGCATGTAGTAAAGCACGTGTTGTAACTAAGGTCATTATTTGCATCACTGTAATCATTACTGCTATGAAAGGTTGGTTGGTATTTTTTTTATTACTTATACTTCTGCACTACAGTATTTAATGTACCAGAAAATATACACATTTCTCAAAACCAGTGTGGCAAAAATACCACGATGTCCAACTGCAGCAGCAGACACATGCATTCAAAATAATAATAATATATTCATAATCCATCTGGTCACTAATGGTCTCTTTGCTTTTGTAGCTCATGAAGAGACAACAATGTTATATTCAGTCTGTCTGATTACCAGATAAAAGCTCCTCACAGGAAATTTAAGTTCACTTTGATAAAACTGATAACTATTAATGAAAGAGATATTTATGTGTTCATTAAGAGAAATGACTGGAGTGAAGTGAAGTGCACCTGAAGAAGGGGGATAATGATAAGACATTCATCTAAAATCTTGATTTATTGTGCCATAAAGCAGTGGACTTTGAGCATAGGATAACCAAGGTGTTACAGCAGCTCTTGGGAACACTCACTGTAAAGAGGCCTACACAGAAATACACTGAAAAGAACGAAGGCAGACACTTTTGTCGTCATTACACATTTTGTCTTTTTCGGTTTTTAAGTGTGATTAAAAAAAAAAAAGACAATCAACAGATTTCCCTTTCTTTTATCAGCTCATGTTGTTACTGGGATGTGTTATCACAAAGGACATTCAGCGATCTTCAAATCATTATATTTGTGCATGTGCAAAGGAATTACTATAGGCCTTAGAATACAATCTCTACAACAAGAAGATAAAGGTTCATTTCTAGTGCTTAGTCTCAACCTGAGCTTTACAACTCTGAACTCATTCTGTCAGCTACAAGTTGTTGAGAAAAATAAAAAGGTTACATCGTTACAAGAAAAGTTTAAAACAACAGAGAAGGAAGTGGTTGCATGTTAACGTCTGTTCTAACACATTTCTGCATGGATAGTGTCGGCATGGAAAACTGACATGGAAACAGAAAATCATAATTTTTGGCCTTTTGCATGTGAAAGCCCTCACTGTAAAACAAAACAATAGCAGCAGTTAAGGCAAAAAGATTGTTCCCCATGGTTACAGTTATACCTGAGTACAATGAGTAATCTACATACTGTGTCATTAGAGGAAACAAATTTGGTCAATAGATATTTACTGCTAAATTTCTAATGTTTTTTTGTTTACTAAAAGCAATGGAAAAAAAAAATCCCAAAAGTTCACTGAATCAGAAACTCAGCAAGAAGAAAAGCATTCTGTACCAGTTTTACACATAAGCAACTATGATGATCCATTCCAATAACTAAGAAATAACAGATGTTCTGAAAAATGTCTCCTTCCTGATAACAATACTGGGACTTGAGTATTGGCAAATACTGAGCATCCCTTCTGATACTAGTCTGATTAAAAAAAAATATACATAATATTTTTGGAAAACATTTAATGTTGACATTTTGCTAGCTCTGACTAAGAGCAAACTCTCTGCTAGAAACACAATGTTGTAATTTATTATTGTCACGATTGGGTTAATTTGAAACTGCAGATTTTTAGGAGGCTAATTGGTTTTTGTATCAGATCAGTGCATTTACTGGCGTATTGTCGATACCTGATACTGTAATTAAGACAGTATCAAAGGCTGATACTAGCTTTAAAACTCTAAAATGCATTCATTAATAGATATTACAAATAAAAAAAAGTCTACACAGACTTGTCATGAACCACAAGAGGTGCCAGCCTGTCTGGGTCGTGGTTTTTGTGCTATAAGCCACTGGAAAAAGCGTTGGTCTCTTGGCTGATACTCTCCTTGACTTCCACAGGCAGTGCGTCAAAGAGATGGTCCTCCACAACCAGGCCGCTCTTGCGCAACATTCGGCAGTTTCCAAGCTGGGCGGGCAGTCTGTCCAGACAGTTCCCTCGGAGCTCCAGCTGAGTGAGCTGCACCAGCTGACCCACTGACTCTGGCAGCACGGTGAGCGCATTGTTACCCAGGCACAGCACCTTTAGCTTGTTACATCTAAACAGAGGCTTGGGCAGCACCTCCAGCTTGTTGGAGTTGATGGCTAGGTGCTGCAGGTTGTTGAGAAGACCCACATCAGGAGGGAGGATCGTAATGGAGTTGTGGCCCACGTCTAAATGCCGCAGTTTGGGCAGCGTGAACAATGCTGGAGGCAGGGACTCAAGTTTATTGTGAGATAGGTGTAGGGCCTCCAGAGACTTGATTTGTCCGATGGATGACGGGATGGTGATAATCTTATTGTGCCAAAGCTTCAGGCATGTAAGTCTCTTGAGGTGCTGGAAGCTGATGATCTCCTCGATGGTTCGGATGTTGTTGGATTTCAGGTCGAGTTCCTGCAGGTTGGTGAGGCTGAAAATGGCATGGGGAATCCTCTCCAGTTCACAGGTGTGAAGCTCCACTTCAATGAGACTCGTCATTTTTTTCAGACTGTTCAGTACCAGCAGTTTCGTACCATCATTGTGCACCACCAACTTGATCAGATGTGGGGAAAGCTCTGTGATGTTTGTGGGCATCTTGGTGAGGTTGCTCTTCAAACACAATGTCTTTAAATGCCTCAAATCGCGCATGGACTCCAGACCGATCATTTTGTTGTTTTCTGAGCTTAAGTTGCCAATCAGGTTCAGCTCCCTCAAACTCCTCAGCAAGTACACCCATGTCGGGATCTCAGCAACATCAGTGAACTTGACGTGAAGGCAGCGAAGGTGATCACGCAGGAAAGCGAAACCTGTCTGCTCCACTTTAGCCGGGCAGTGGCAGAGATGCAGCTCCTGCAGGCTGGTCATCTGGGAGACTTTTGCTGTGAACCTCACCTCTGGAATAAGCTCCAGTTTCAGCACGTCCAGGTCTGTGAGGTCGAACACAGCGTTCGGGAGACCAGAGAGCATGAAAAGGTGCAGCTCCTGTTGGTCCTGTGCGTTCCGGGTCACCAGCTGCCTCAGCTTTTCAAAGGTCCACTCGTGATTGAGGCTGATCTCCCTCAGCTTGTTTTCACTGACCTCAGACAAGAAGACACCAAAGCGCTTGGAGTAGAGCTCGTCGTACTGGTCAACCATGTGTAAGAGGAATGCAAAGTCGTTTTTGACATCAGGAATGTCACTGAAGCTGCTCTCTTCCCTCACCTTCTCAAACGAGTACTCTTTGAGCGGTCGTCGAAACACCCAGAAGAGTGAGTACAAGCAAGCCATGCCGTAGATCAAAATCAACGCCATGTAGCTTATGAGCAGCTTGTTCAGCATGAAAGCCATGTTGTGCGTACAGTAGAACTTACTGTATCCTGTCAGCTGTTCAATATTTGGTTTACAATCATGCGTAAAATTGATTTTAGCCATAAAGTTAGAAGTGTATGACAATATCAAAATAAATTTGACAGTTTTGACAACAGTCTGCGCTACATAAAGCTTGTAGATAAAATCACTATCCTCCACATGAGCCCTGAATTTTCGTACTTTCTCAAATAGCGCTTTGGCTTGCTCCCCGTCTTTCTTGTCCAGGATTGTCATGCTACTTGGGACTTCTGCTATGGGCTTATCTGCAGAGAACTTCACCCCCAGCATGGGTGTGGATGAGTTTACATTTGTGCCTTCATCCTTCCCCTCCAAAGACACTTTCTTTGGGGCAGAGGAAGTACCGGTTAACCTCTGTTTGTTCTCTTCTGAGTCCTCGCACGCTGTTTCAGACAAAGCCTTTGTTGTCCAGGGAGACTCAAAACATCTGCCCAGAATAGAAACAAAATGCTCTATCTTTGAGCTTGTTTTGGGGTATTTGAACCAGAAGTTGCTACTGACCATGAGGACGAGGGTGTGGATGAGGGTGAGGTATGGAAAGTACTTGGAATACCAGGGCAAGGCAACATGGTAGCATATTTGGTTAATGAAGATATATTGTTGATAGTCCAGGTTGGTCCTGACTCCGGTTGGTTGAGGTTGATTGACGTATTTCTTTGATACAGACGTGTGTTGGTGTGTGACATGGATCTCGTGGACGACCTCGTCCGGTAAGTCCTTAGTGACAAGGGGGGCACTGGTCATCACAGGGGCCCCGGGAGCTGTGTATGAGGCCTGTGTAGTCTGCTGAGGGAAGGAGTTCGGTTTGGCCCCTGAGACCTCCTCCGGCTCCTCGAGACAGGGAAGACAAGCCACCTGGTCCTTGGTGATCTGCATGGTCATGGCGAATATGGCCAGCATGAGCATGACCAGGCCCAGGTAGTCCATGAAGACGTCCCACCATGGCTTCAGGATGCGGTACGTCGGCTGGATGTCGTTCAAGGAAGCGACCTCGGCGAGTGTAAACATCACTGAAACAAATTAAGGAGTTTGTTAATATAACAATGTTTTAGAATTAAAAATGAAATATATATAGAAGACCTACTTGATAAAACAGTTAATCCAAACATGGATTAGTTGATAACCGAACATTGAGCGGTCAGTGTTTTGACATTTGATAAATAAATAAAGATAATTCTTGACCCAAATATACAAATGTAGGTCATTTCTGCTTACAGCGCTTGACATCATTTCTGTGGGTTTTGGACTGTTGGTATGGAATTTACACACATTTGGACAAAATTCAACAATAACATTTGACTCGAGCACAAAGCTACACCGTCAGGTTAAAGATTTCTGGTCAAATCAAAGTTGTCAAAAGTGAAGAGCGGTATTTTTCTTCCAGGTGAAACTACAAGAATGTGAGGTATACATGTGTGACTTTGTTCCACTGTATCATTGTGCGCTAAATTAAGCTTTTACTCCCTCTATCTATTTGAATAATTTCCTTCAGTAATGTTTTAATGATGTTAAAACAGGGTTTAGCTAAAGCCAGACTTACTACAACATGTTTGGAACGCAGCAGAGCCCTCTGATGGATAATAAGTCTACTAACTGGTCTAGCTCACTGAGACATTTGGCACACGTGTTTCTTTTAGTTCCCCGCTGTGCTTTCTTATTTTGAGGATGTGGCACTTCACTTTTGGGTAGATTCCTTTTTATGATATCACGTTTTCCATTTCCTTCTAGTAAGTCATACAAAATCTAAAGAAAAGATTTTGAAAGAAGATGTATGTATTTCCATCAGTAAATAAATAAATGATTATCTGTCCTTGGACCTACACTGAAAAGCAATATCTCTGTGACACATTCTGAATATTTTATGCTGAAATACAGTCTCTAGCAGCGGACATCCTGAATTCAGCCGAACTATTCAAAAGAAAATAAATTCCAAGTAAGAAAAAAACAATTACATAAAATACAGATTAGACTTTTTCCAGTAACGGTATCTTGTTTTTGTAATATAGAAGATAATATGCCTCTTTCACTCAAACTGTGAAATTTTAAACTCTATTGTTTTTTTGTTTTTTTATTCAAGTAACTAGAGGCTCCAATTGTGTACACAGAGGCTCATTTTACAACCTTTATCAATGTTGCATCTGTACAAACAAACGGCCCTTGTTTATGCTGACAATACAGTTTTGTATCGTTTTGCTGAGACTGCACATATCTATTAATGAATATATCCAACCGTCCTCATTTTAAATGATTAAATACCTATATTGGGGCAGTTACATCAAGTTGGGTTCTTTTTTTTTTTTTTAAGAACTTGAAGGATATGTATTCTCTCACTGCTGTAAGCTATCTGATGAG